GGGTGGAAATTAAAATGCCAAAAAAAGTCAAGCCATCAAACAACACATTTCTTGAAAAATGGAAAACTTTTTCCATTTTCCGTGAAATTAGTTGTCAATCAAACACTACCTTAATGTCAAAATGGCATGTGCAAATCACATGGTGTGTTTCTTTGAGGGTAAAATAAATTATTCGAATATGGTATATATTAAACTACACAAAACAAAACAAAATGTGACAACATAATTTTTTTTTTTATTTATTTTTACTCTATCTTGATTATGTCCATTCTAATTTAATTTTCCATAGTAAACATAAAATCATAAGTTCAAATGGAACACGATAACAAAATATAATGAAGATTTAATTTCATTTAAAGCTATGCATAATGCATTAGCAAGATATGTAAAGATATTATTTGGGTGCCACAATCTTTTTCCTCGTTTGAAATGTTTCATAATGTCCCTTTCCATATATTTTACTAAGGCCCTGTTTTATATCTTTCATTTTTCATTTTCCATCTTTTACAATGTTTGATTGGCAAAATTTTCCTCGAAATTGGTTTTCCTCCCAACTCCCACGTGACCTCTTTTTCTTGGTTTTCATTGAATTTGTTTTTTCACCACTTTGGTGGGAAAATGGTTTTTCACCTTTTTTTAAAAAAAAAATTATATATATAGTAATGGAAATAAATTTTATCCCCAATTGTAACAAATTATCTCTTTAATGGACAATTTTCATGTAAAATAAAGTCAAACGAAAATCAAAAGATCCAAAATTTTAATATTTTCCACGTGAAAAATTATACTAATCAAACACAATTAATTGACAATTTTCAGGAAAACAATTTTAAGCAATTCAATTCCCTAAAATTCATTTTCTTTCAATCCAAATTTTACTCTTACAATCAAACGGACCCTAAGGAAAAATCATAATGAATAATGGACCCCACATGGATGGGACATTGTCACGACTTGTTAAGCAAGCACTAATTTTGCTTAACAAACAAATTGTTCGATTTCGTCACTGATTAGCTAATGCAACGACCTTAATTCCTATTCCTTTAACTTGACAAACAAATCCGTGTCCTAAAACACACCTCCCACATGTTAGGAACTAGTCATTTTTTCTTTGTAATTGAAGACCAAGAATCTATGAACCACTTCGACTAAATCGCAATGAAAAGTAAAAGATGAATAGCGTATTATTGAAGGGACGCCGAAATTTTCATTGTCGCCTCTTGTTCCAATGCATCAATATTTTTGTCACATCGCGTTTAGGTCGGGATTGGTTCCATGTTGATGGTCAAAGTTTAGGTCGGGATTGGTTTCCGTTTGGGCCACCTTTTTATCTCATTAAAATGAAAAATATGATCGTTATCCATCATTCAGCATTTAAATTCAAATTTTTTAACTCTTATGTGGACCAAATAACGACTATATTTTTCATTCTCATTCTACAAAAAGCGGCTCAAATAGGGCCTTAATATTTATTAATAGAGAGAATATAATATAATTCTTAATTAGTGTAACTTAAAGAGACATATGCACGTGACAATTTGGAATATTCAGGAATCTGGAGAATAAATTAATTTGAATTTATTCCAACTTTATCGCATACTTTTTGGAGAAGAAAGAACGACTTACAACACGACATAGTTTAACGTAAACCGTAACGTTGACGGCGTCGTAAGTAACCTAAAAATTGGCCTCGCCGCCCTCTGACCTTTCCATTGACAACCAAGGAAAGTTCTTACACACACATACCTAGTTACTATATATATATTTTTTTTTTTATTTTTTTATTTGTTTTCCAAGTTACTATATATATATATATATACACAACTGCAAAAGGTTGTGCTGAAAGAAGTGCAGATCTCAAAAACTGAGGTATACAGGTACGTACCAGATCTTTCTTGCTGAGCAAGCATTTGTTTCTTATAATCATGGATTGCTGTATAATAAAATAATGTGTAAAAGTTGAAATTCTGTTCAAAAAGGCATGCTCCGAAGATCATGGACATGTTCATTGTCTTTTGCCTGCCAAAACCCTTCTCTTCAAATCTCACATAAACACACACACACACACACACATTACATACTGTGTTTTCAAACAAGTGAGGAACAGGTACAGATTTCTACTTGCTCATTGCGTGTGACCAAATAAATTTGTTTTTGACAGATATTGCTGTTGCTTTTCTTCTTTTTTATGCCTATATTTTTCTTAATGAACGCTGAAAGTTACAAAATTTGGTGCGCAGTATAAGCTGTAACGCTTGATCAGTTATTATTAGTGAGAATAATATATGGAGATGATTACACAGTTTACTTTTCAAAAATATGTATTTTGTTGCAGAATAGGTGATCTTCGATCTTTGGAATTTGTAAGAATAATCGCTACACATTTTTCTGGGTTTTATTTATTTGTCTTTTCCTGATGTTTGGACTCTGAAAAATTCAATGACTGATTTTTTCCTAGTTATTTTCAAAAGAGGCATTGCCAGCACGTTTATTTTGGGCAGAATCGCCCCCCTTAAGAGTTTTACGAAGTGTCTTTCCTTTGAATTTATCATCAATTGAATGGAATAGTTGGGTGTGCTTTGTCAATTAGAAAATCTTAGAAACCGCCGTCTTCTTGCTTTGTTAAATTAGTTGGGTTCGTGGGAATGTCTTACCCCTTGTCTTTTACTTGTTCATATATATTTGGGAAGAGGTATAAGATCTTGTATTGTTTTTAACTTTCAGAATTCATAGAAATACAGAGAAGATAGACCATCTGAAACTGCTTATTTCTTCAACAAATATCGAGAGTATCAGCCTGTACTCTCAATATGGCACTGGCAAGAATAGCAAGACATGGTGGTTATAGACGATCTTTTGGTGCCATTAGCAATACTGCTACCGAAAGGTATCAACTGTGCGGGGGAGAATCTGCACATAAGTGCCATTCACCTTTCAGTGGAAATGTTACGGGCTGTGGCAATTTATTTAGCATTAAAAAGGCAGAGCATATCAGTTTTGGAAGCAGGGGAATGAGGGTGACTCCACAACATAATTTTCCTCATGCACAAATAGCTGTGGAAGAATCTGATTCAGAGCAAGAAAGCCCCCAATATCCTACTTTAGAAGCAACGAAGCCTGGTGAAAAGCCTAGAGTAGTTGTTCTTGGTAGTGGATGGGCGGCTTGTAGATTCCTCAAAGGGCTCGACACAAAGATTTATGATGTGGTTTGCATATCACCGAGGAATCACATGGTATTTACACCCCTGCTTGCCTCAACTTGTGTTGGAACTTTGGAATTCCGATCAGTTGCTGAGCCGGTCAGTAGGATACAGACTGCACTGGCTAAAGATCCCAATTCTTACTTCTTTCTAGCTTCATGCAGTGAAGTGGACACGGACAAGCATGAAGTAAGTAGCTGCGTATAATCACTTGTTCTTCAGAACTCACATAATTATGGATTTTGAAATGCAGTTACATATAAAAACAGAGATGAAGATAATTGGCATTGCATTTTGATGGTTCTTCCCTTGATGATGAAGTTCAAGGTCTTGAAATATAAATTGTCTCATTTAATCAGGTGTACTGTGAGACCATTGGTGATGGAGGACTTTCTCGTGAACCTTACCGATTTAAAGTTGCTTACGACAAGCTTGTCATTGCTTCTGGAGCTGAGCCCTTGACCTTTGGTATAAAGGGCGTTAAGGATCACGCCTTTTTCCTTCGTGAGGTGACTCATGCCCAAGAAATAAGGAAGAAACTTCTGTTAAACCTGATGCTATCTGAAAATCCAGGTAAACACTCCCCTATCTGCCATCATATAAAAAAGAAAATGAGATTTAAATGTATGGAAGATAAAAAATGTACTTTACACTAAATCTGACAAAAGAATATCACACAATATCCTTGATCACTCGTTAGTAGCTCACAAAGTTTTGCTATAAAGGCATGCAAGAGTTTGAACTTTTATATTCCTGGATGCCGGACTATTGGCACCTGCTATTTCAATCAATTTCTGGAAATAAATAACAGGTAATCTGTTTGTTGTGTGAGTATTAAACTAATAGATCTGATACTACAATTCTGATATAAACACATTTATAAATTTATACAATGTCAAGTGTGGACCTGAATGAAACAAGGAATATGAGGATAGTTATGTTTATTCCTCATATCGATCAATTTAGTGAGGTACAAAGCTTTTATGCTAGTCAGAGTAAATATTGTTCATATATGCATGAACTAGCCAGAGTAAATATTGTTAAAAATGCAAATAGTTTTTACTCAATTGAAATATGCTGACCATAATGAACAGCTTTATATTGTTCGAATTCTCAGCCTTATATTGATTGAATTCTCTGAAGGAACAAGATCACGCAAGTTTCAGTTATGTTAAAGAAATGAACTAACTGACACCGTCCTAAAAATAACTACTGAAATTGTCAATAGAAGTAAAGTTGGATACAATGAAACATTACAGGAACTTCAGAAGAAGAGAAGGAACGTCTGCTACATTGCGTTGTAATTGGAGGTGGACCTACTGGGGTGGAATTCAGTGGCGAATTGAGTGATTTTATCATGAGAGATGTCCACCAGCGATATGCTCATGTCAAAAACTACATTCGTGTTACGCTCATTGAGGTATGAGTGTATAAATAGTGTCTTTTCGCACTTGTTTGCTGTGTTCTTAAGGGAGTCTTATCTTTTCAATGTTGTTTTCATCTTAATCTCTCTTACAGGCGAATGAGATTTTGTCATCATTTGATGACGGATTAAGGCAATATGCTACAAAGCACTTAACAAAGGTAACTCAAGTCTCTGTATCTTTAATCATCAAATATGTTTTTTCCTTAGTTTAACACTTCTATTGATCTTTACTATATTTATCCTAGGTTGGAGTTCGCCTTGTACGAGGTGTTGTCAAGGAGGTGCATCCAAATAAGATCATTCTTAGTGATGGAAGTGATGTTCCTTATGGCCTCCTTGTCTGGTCTACTGGAGTTGGTCCCTCCGAATTTGTTAAATCGCTAAATCTCCCCAAATCTCCTGGTGGAAGGTATAATCTTTGTGATTTGAAATTGTTGTCTTTCTCCATTTCAATATATCTTGGATTTTGTCTAACTTTCTCAACTTTTACAGAATTGGAGTTGATGAATGGCTACGAGTTCCATCCATTGAAGATGTGTTTGCACTTGGAGATTGTGCCGGTTTTCTTGAACAGACAGGGAGGCCAGTTCTTCCAGCTCTAGCTCAGGTCAGATTGATCTAAAATTGGACAGTAAATTTCTCTGTTTTTCCTTATGTAATTGTATCTAGTTTCAATGGCCAACTCGAGTCTACTTGTTGGAGAATGGGAAGAAACTTATCCTCCTATAACTTCAAGATACGAGCATAACTACGAATTTAAACAGGTTGCAGAACGGGAAGGGAAATTTCTTGTTGAATTGTTCAACAGATTTGGAAAGAATGGAGGCAAGGCTTTCTCTGCAAAAGACATTGCTCTAGGAGAGCCATTTGTGTACAAGCATCTTGGAAGCATGGCGTCTGTTGGGCGTTACAAGGCACTGGTTGATCTTCGTCAATCCAAGGTAATTAAGTCTTCTCCTCCAATCCCTCTCTTGACAACCAGCATATAACAATGAATGTTGATACGCGTTTTACTTTTCACAGGACACAAAGGGAATTTCATTCGCGGGATTCATAAGCTGGTTGATATGGCGCTCTGCTTACCTGACTCGAGTCTTAAGCTGGAGGAACAGATTTTACGTCGCTGTTAACTGGGGAACAACACTGGTCTTTGGCAGGGATAATACAAGAATAGGATGATACTACACTATCCTAATCATAATGCAATTGCCTACTCTTTTACCTGCACACAGAGTGGGTTGGATTGGAACCAGTTACAAGTTTTCCACGGGCATTCCTTTTTTACTCATCACTTGGTAGCAGCAAGTATGAGATGATTTTAATAGCATTCTTTTCCTTTTCTTGCATGATAATGAAAATTGGTTTGGTATTATGGCAAAATAGACTGAAAACTGTGTACATCTTATTTAAAACATTTTTTTAGAAAATTTAAATATGATTATTTAATTAAACAACAATTTTGTCACTTTATTGTATTTCTGAAATTTTCTGAACCTAGCGATCTAACCTCTTCCTTGAAGACCTTGTATTACTTGTCCTTGTTGGCGGTGTACAGTGTACACTACTTTACTAAAAGCGAATAGTGTGCTACTCACCTTCAATGTTGGGGAAGTCAAGGAACTGATTTACTATTTCCACTCAAATATTCGTTGGCTAACAATTACTTCTTTATCTTTGAGAACGATGAATTATCGATATTTTCTATTGTAGAATAAAGGAGATGAATGCATTTAATAATTAATATATTATCTTTACAACGTTTGCTTATATGTACGTAAGTCATCATTTAAGAAACATAGTTAAAGGTTTCATTGAGGGAAAATTGTCGATAAAATTATTTACATATCTTCACAGCATACAAAATATGAAATTAATTAAGAATCTAATGCCTTATGTTGTTGAATTTACAATATATATAAATTCATAATTGGTTGGTTAAAGATTGTTATTTCAACGTCTGAGGGTAACGATTCAGAGATTGGTAATTGGTATCTCCTTCCTCTCCACTTCCCCTAAAATAGTTATATTATATTTCTCTATTTAAATAGTAAATACAGTATCAGTCCTTGAAGTTTAGTTAAAATTTCAAATTGGTCCTTGAAGAGTTTTCAAGACACTATTAGTCAATGAAGTTATTAAAGTTTTGTAATTGGCCACTCGTTTACTAAAAGTAACGTATAAAATATAATGCGACTTCCATTAAGTGTCCTGGTGGACTAAACGTCGTTAATTCCTCCGTAAATAAAACAAGTGCAATGTACAAAATATACCTTATGATGACCCTCTTGCAAGGCCAGAC